ACCATATTCTAATCATTAAGGCTTATTGTATTAAAGTACCTCAAGACCCTATTCTTATTAAGGCTTCTCCTGCGGGGTTTAGGGTTCTGGTGCAGGATGTATCGCACAGGGTTGCGAAACCATGGCCGAACATCCGAAGCCAGAAAGCTCCTAAAAATCCCGAACCCCAAAACTTCTAGCATCTTCTGGCCCCAAGAACCGAAACTCTTGAACTCCTGAAACCCAGAGGCCTAAATCGTAGTTCAACCTCACTCTAGACGCAGGGCCCGAGGCGGAGACAAATGATGACATGCTAGGTAAGGTACAGTGCAGCCGACGACCGACAGCCCTAAGTGAGAAGGGACCTTTTGCAGAGGGGTCCCTGAAGTTCGTAGAAACTTCCAATAGCACAAGGTAGGACTACTCTAAGCTGCTGAACCCTACGTTCCAAGCAAACACAAACCCCAAAACCCTCAACCACTCCTAAACCGACGCTGCATTGCAGGAGCATTTCGAAGCCGCGCTTCGCGCGCTCCGCATCCCGAAATGGAGCCGCCACACCGCGAAATGAGGGAAGTGGACCCACCACTCCCAGGGTCGCGAGGACGCTGACCGAAAGCTCTGTGGGCTCATATGGCTTGTTCTGAGAGGTTTTAGGGTTTTGGGTTTCCGGGAGCATTACAAAGATAACCATATACATTCCCCAGTGCACGTGGGCATCCCCGCTAATATTCATAATTCATACCAGCAATCTTACTACAGGTAACGGCGGCCGTGGTATTTGCAAAACAGATGTTGCATGCGTGCACGTAGGACTGGTAATGGTGGTGCTAGCCTTAATCGTATCGTTTAACCCCGACGAAATTATTGCTGTAGTATTACCAGTCGAGTTTGAAGCCATCTCTTGTCACCATCATGTTTCGGTGTCATGTGTTGCGCGTGTTTTTTCTGCAGCGCTCGACGGTACCAGCACTCTGAACACCGAAACTCTTAACCTAACCTTTCACGCTGTATCCCTCCGCTTCCTGCTTGTTGTTCTTCATGACTTCTTTCGTTGCTAATCATTGTGTTTGTTGTCGTCACTGCTGGCGCTATGGGCTCTCCACTGTTGTCATTGGTGTCTTGGTAGAGGGTTGCCATTGGGTAGCCGACCTAACCTCGTAGACCCTGTAAGGCCTCGTAATGTAGACCTGTGGCACACGCACACACGCACAAGAACTTCCAAAACCCTAAACCTGGCCCGAAGCCCTAAAATCCAAACCCCCAGACGCTAGGAAATATCCTCCGAACTGGCCTAAAGCCCAAACCCAATACAGGTAACCCCGTAGTATTCCCTTCTAGCTTTGGCAGAACTATCCCAGCAAGCACCACCCCAAAAGACTCTTGTAATTTGCAAGAGGTGGGGACGTGAGCCATGATTTCCGAGCCACGACATGGATAGGACCCTGCAGAAATAAAGCTTTAACTTATCATCATGCTATATACCAAATATAGCGCTATACTATTTTCTTCTCTACTCTACTCTACTCTAC